TAACACCTACCTCCATTATTCCATTAGTGCCTACACTCAAAATGTTTACCATAAGTAAGGAAAGCAACAAATATACAAATGAAGTATTCAAGAATAATACAGCATTTGGGAGACCTGAAACATGATATGGATGGTTTCAGCAAGGGAGACTGAAAAGCTTCCCTAGTCAGTTAAGAAAGGTGGGCCTCCCAGGTGAAGCAGGTGCAGTGTGAACAGAGGGACTTAGAGGAGAAAGAAGGCTTCAGGAGGCACTCAGAAAGAGGCTGCTGGGTAGAGAAAGGACAAGGGACACCAGTGTGAGACAGCAGTGGAAAGTTCTGGTGGTTTCACTGGACAGTAGCTACAGAGTTGGGACTTTGGAATCAACAAGGAGCCTCCAGCACAATTAATATCACACACGACTTGGAAGGCAGGGATCAGGAGGATGCTGGCAGGCCTGTCCTGGCAAAAACCTAAGGATACCCCATCTCTACAAATAAGCCTAGTGTGGTAGCATGCATCTGTGATCCTAGCTACATGGGAGGTATGGGTAGAAGGATCTCAGTCTGAGACAAGCTTCAGGCAAAATATGAGTAACTCTACCTGAAAACTAAAGTAAAATGGTCTGGAGGCATGAGTGGCAGACAAGTGTAAGGCCCTGAGTTCAAACCCCAGTATTAAAAAAAAAAACCCGACACAAATAACCACCAACCTTCTTGCTTAAGCAGCAAGTAAAATCTAAGAATCACAGAATTGTGGCTTGAAGAAGTATCAGAACACTGTCACCCCGGGACTGTCATCTTACAATTAGCATCCCACCTACACTGTCATCTTACAGATGAGGAAAGTAAGACCCACAGAATTTAAGTAACTTCATCTTAGAAAGAGGAGAGCTGGGGCAGAAGAGGAGTTCCAAAACTCTTGAGCTTTTCAGTAACTTCTACTAAAAGCAGAAACCAGGCTGGAGGTGTAGCTCAGTGTCACAGCAATTGCCTAGCATGTGTGTAGCCCAGGGTTGATCCAAAACCAAAACTGCTTATCAAACTTGCAAGTCAGGCATGGTGGCACAATTCTGAGGCCAGCCTGGGCTACACAGCAAGATCCTGCCTTAAAAAAAAAAATGTCAGTTGCTTCATGAGAATCAGGTCCTTTTGGGAGGTAAGGCAATGAAAAACAAAATCAACTATACAAATAAATGGCTTAAGTCATATAGTATCAATAATAAAACAGCAAATACTTAAATAGAGTTTACTTCCTGCCAAGCACTATTCTGTCATGAATTTAATCTGCAGAACAACCCTGCAAGGCACAACCCAGAGTCAGTACATTTAACACTAAGCCTTCCCTTCTAAGTAAGTGTGCATAGCTGCTCAGAGCATAATCTTTGTCATTAGTTTGGAAACTAAGTTCTGAATTTCTCATTTGGGTCTAGAAGAATTAGAACATATCAGGATGTCAAGAATGCAACTGTTTAAGCTTCATTTGAAGAAAGCATGCTTTAAAGTAAAGAAAACTTGAAACTACATAATATAACCATTATTATGCTATATACATTACATGTCATTAATCCAACAAACTCCTTAAGGATATGTTTTCAACTATTACTATTTCAAGAGACTTTCAAAACTTTAATGCAAACAGAAAAAAAAAACCCTAATGCAAAAAAACCTTTTTAAATGAAATTGTGGTAGTGCAAATTTGGGGGTTTTGTTATTATTTTTAACTTAGCAAATCTTATGCTTTGTGTTTGGGAAGAGGGAGAAGGATCAAGAATGACAATGAAAAGAATTAAAGAATTAAGTTCTGTTTCTGGTTATTATTGTTTTCATTATATGGCAGGAGTGTTTTACTATCAGAATTATGACCAATAACATATAGCATGTGTTAACTGATAAAATATAACACATTTTTAAATTGAAAAAAAAAAAAAAACAAAGGTTCCTCTTCTCAACAGTCCAATATAGACTTTGTAAAACGCATTCTCACATGTTGCCACTGTGGTCTAAAGTTGATGGTTTTTGCATTCAGTTAACCAGATTCATTTCCATTTCAATGGACTTTCCCATTAAAGGAGCTGACTGTGCACCACCTGCCATTATGATCTGCCATGTGTCTGTTCACCCAGGGGTCCACCCAGGCAGACTGGAACTGAAACATACCAAGTAATAGTTAAGTACACAGATCATTGGTAGGTGTGATACAGAGGAAGACAGCCTATTTGGCTCTTGTATTCAGCATTTTTGCTCAGCCTCAGGGCATCCCATTTGATTGTACCATATTTTCAAACATACAACTCTTCTGACCCTCAGCATACTTTAGACCTTTACTGGCATGTTATACATGTCAATCTCTCTCCTTCTCTTTATCATCATGGAGGTTTTTTGTTTGTTTGTTTGTTTGTTTTGGGATTGGAGGGAGGGTTGGCAGTGTTGGGGATGGAGCCCAATGCTAGGCAAGCACTCTACCATTATACTATATCTCCAGTCAAGGAACTATTTTTGAATGGCTTGTTAATACTCAAGTCAGCCATTATCAACTGCCAAAAACGTGCAAAGCACCATATGGAATATAAAGAGTAGGAGAATTCTTCTCTTCAAGTAGCATTTAAACTATTAGGACAAGGTACACACAAGTTAGAGGAAGAGAAGCCAGCAGATACATAAGGGAGGAGGGAGGAACTCTGAGCTTGGCTGCAGCCAATATGCAGAGGGAAACAAGATCTGTTCTAAGATTCAATGTCCACAGGGTAAAAATAAACCAGGTGCTTAGAGAAAGAACAACTATTTAAGATCCAAGATCAGAAGAAGTTTATGCTGTGGTTCCTAATAGAAGATTCTGCTTAATATAGCAAATATCCTAAAGGTATTTTTTTTTTACAATAAACTATGATTAGTTTGAGTACAGCTGAGAAGCTCTAAAGAAAACCAAGAAATTTAACTTGGACGCAAGGCAGAAGACCAGGGCTTGGCTCTACCATGGCACTGACACCATGCCTGCAGCATCCACAGAAACGACACTGAAATATTACTGCCATGTTTTAAATCACTGCATTTTGGGTTGGCAGAGTGGCTCAAGTGGTAGCATGCCCGGCCAACAACCACAAGGCCCTGAGTTCAAGTCCCTGTATTGCAAAATAAATTTTTCTTATGGAATATAGTTTAGAGTCTAAGTAATGTCACGGAATTGCTTAACTGAATTCATTTTTTTCTTATAAACCAAATTACAAAAACATTTTGAAGTTAACATTTTGATACTTCATATAAGTGGAAATAGGTCATCACTTTGAAACAAAATGTCAGGGCTCATGAGGTAGAGCACCTGTCTCGCAAGCTTAAAGCCCTGAGTTCAAGTCCCAGTACTGCCAAAAACTAGAAAAATGTCTTCTACCTAGGAACTGCTATTTTTAAAAGACAGTTCCCAAAAAGAGTCTCATTTGATTTTACAAGGGTTTTTTTTTTTTTCACCATTTAAATTTATATCAGCACTACTTTACAAGAACTGAAAGGGTGGTTTGAGGGAAGAAGGGCATTTTACTAAAATTGGGGGAAAATTTTTATTGGAGGCTAAATAGGACAAATGCAGTTGTTACAAATAGCACTTCAAGTATTTGGCTGCTTTTTTTCATTTTGAGACAAGACCTCAATATGTAGCCCAGGCTGGCCTGGAACTCAGAATCCTGCCTCAATCTCCTAAGTGCTGGTATTACAGGCCTGCACCACCACTATGTGGCTATTTTACTTTAAAAGACTTTTGTTATAAAGGAGCCTACTTCCTCATCTGGCCACTGAAAGCAAAGGTTTCCTTTTACAGAATGAAAAAGGAAAGATGTCACCTTAGACAATAGAATCTAGGCAGAAAAAGGTCAGTTCTTTTTACCTTGCCAGTGACCTACCAATTACTCAATAGTAAACAACCCTCAAATCCTGCCCAGTCTTCCAGGGCAGGGTCTGCATGAATCAATTAGAAATGGAAGTATTAGCCAATCGGATTAGCTGAAATTCCAATAATCAGCCCTAGGCCATTAATAAGATTAACTTTAGGTTTTCAAATGGAACAACTTTTAACATTCGTGAATGAATGACCAAAACAAAATTTCAATTCTTATGGCAAAGATCCACATCCCTGGGAATAAATAACTGACTGAGAGGCAGAACGAGTTAAGTCAGTACAGAAATATTTTCTTGTGAACTTGTCTCTTGTTACATCATTTCTCATTTAGTTTTATAGTCTGGCTATAGTCTACTTGCCTAAAAACTATTGATGAAGACAAAGTTAATAGGAACCAAAAAAGCCAGGTGTGCCTCCCAACACTCAGGAGGCAAAGATAAGAAGGATTGTAAATTCAAAACCCATGCCCCCCCCAAAAAAAGTGGAAATTTAAATTATCATGAGTTCTTTTATTTATGTACTGGTTTACATAACATTCTAGGAATATCTCATAGTAAGAAGCATGGTGGCATTAATTACTTAGCCCTCTTCTAATTCTACAAGAAATTTGAGGTGGTTTATGAGAAACTCATTAAAGAAAAACAACAAAAAGTCATAATCAAAGAACACATAAATTAGGGTAGAAAAGGAAGACTCTGGACAGCGTAAAAGAAACTATAATAGAATTCAAACATGGAGACCATAAGACCCACACAGTTACTGCAGGGAAAGAGAGAATTTGGTTTCACGAAGCCAAGGTGAAAATGGAAACGCGACTGGCTGTTATGTTCCATCAGGAACGCCTATCTGCGCTCCTCCAGGGAAGCAAGGCTGTTTCCCACCGCTTACTGTGAATGAGATGCTCCGAGAGACAGCACTGAGAGAGGTGATGAAAAAACCTTCCAATGGCATTCCAACAGGTGAAAGAGGTCCCAGGGCTGTTCCACACACTGTCTGAGAGTCACACTCCTCTGCCCTCTCGCTATCCCACCTCCCATCAGAAGATCACCTTAACGACCTACTTCCACGGCCAGCCCTCTGTGTCCACTCTCACCCAGGGACACCATCCACATCCCAGATCAGAGTTCCCTTACCTCAGGGCCATGACAACAGCCTTTGTAGCTGGCTGTCTCTCACTTCAATCCATGGAATAACTTTCTAAGGCTGTGACTCTTTCAGTCTACTCACAAACCTATATCAGGTCTCTTCTGCTCTCCTGAAGCAAGTTGATATTTTAGGCCTAATCCATGGGGCGCTCTCTCTCTCTCTCACCAAGTCAAGCAATTCCCCAGATAAGCCGTATCTTTCCACTTTGCTCATGTAATACCACATGTGATGGCCTTCCCTTCTTCTACGCAGGTTAAAAGGCCATGTTTAAATGTCACCTCACCCAGGAAGCTTTCCCTTGATCTCCCCTGAGAAGTAAGCAGTCTCTCCTGCCTCCCTCCCCTGCACTTGACCAGGGCTGTAATTCCAAAGCATAATCATGACAGCTAATCAGTCTCTCTCTGTCCAGCCCAGACTTTAGACTGCTCCCCTGTTACCACCCCAACACATCTGGTCCTATTGACCAGAGACACTGCTCTGTCATCCCTAAGTTGCCTCATAAGGACATGCCAGGCTCTCCACAGCTTTACCCACAGCACTGAGCTCACACATGGGTCATGGCACTATGGAATTACACTGTAGCTAGCTGTCCACATGTCTGCCACCTCGGGGCAAAGGCCAAGCGCACTTATCTTTGTAATCTAATACAGCATTCAGTCACTCTCTGCATACCATCCCACTTTAACTTTTCACATAGTAGGTCTTTTCCTATTTACTCATTGTCTACTTCCTCCCCACCAGAAAGACCACTCAACCTCACTTTCTTCCTTCTTTACTACAACCCCAGGATCTAGAAAGGCATCTGGCATACAGTAGATGATTGAAAGTTCAAGATGAATGAATGAGTGAATGAACGATTCTAACCCTGTCCTGGCATACCATAGGTACCACATAAATGTCTGCGGGTAAACAAATCCTGTCTTGTGTAGAAGTTATTTGATATGCCTTAGGAGTGCTAACGGTTGGTGATCTTGATCTCCCCAGCACCTGGCACTGGGCTTGACACACTGCAGTCCCTTTGATAATTTCTTTCAAATTGGATTTCTGGTGTCAAGTTCTCTGAAGGAGCTGCATCTATATTAGGGATGCTGCAAAGGGCTTGACCTTGGCTGACCACAACACCATGACTGTGGAAAGATGGAATGTTGTAATGGAGAGCCAAAATTTTCTTGGGCCCTTTAATAGTCAATTACCTTAGCTTTAATATCTGATCAGTATATAAACTTCTCAGAATGTATCATTAACTCAGCAGATCTCTAGCCTCCCCCAAGCCTAAAGATTCTCAAGGTTTCCACACCTTCACTGAGGCCCACCTACCTGATGTCCCACCAGAGGACCTGGGGAATGTACTGACTTATGACTTTCTTTTTGTTCTATGACTATAAAAGTTCATGTAACATCTTCCATGATGGAAAACTTCATTCAGGGTAACCTGAATCCATGTTCCTAGGCCATGGTCACTCATATTTGACTGACAGTAAACTGTTTTATTTCCTTTAAAGCAGCGTGGCTATTTTACACAAACACTGGTTCAATGAAAGCTCAAGTAATTTACTAAATTATCTCCTAAACCTGAATTTGTCTCATCTTTTCAAAAAAGGAGAGTCTGGTTTTCTGTTGTTGCTGTTCTGTGATACTGGGGACAGAAGCCAGGCTCATGTACACAGCTCACATTCTCTACTGCTCTACCTCCAAGCTGCGCCCCAGCCCAGGAGTCTGTTATTATTTCCTATGCAACACAGAGGAAAAGAGGCCTGCAGAGAAGTCAAGGTCACCAGCTGCACAGTCAGGGGACTGGTTCAGACCCCAGCTGTCACAGATTGTCTTCAATTACTTAACCTCATTTCAGCTCCCTCCTTAAGAGATCAGTGACCTGCTGTGAAAGCAACCTAGTTCCTTACAGTGGAAAGGTCAGTCCTGAATCCTTTATCATTCCTTCTTCACCACTCTTAAGTTATTCAACTTGTGTCAGAATGATTCTAATAGACACCGCCTGACTTGGGTAGATCACTATCTGAAATAGCAGGGAATTATGTTTGCAAGGCATTAATTCTCCCTTAATATTTCATGACCTCACAGCATTCCAGTGCTCATCCAGTGGGCACAAGTGACTTTGGTATGTTACTGCCATCATTCCCAAGACTTCTTGGAGCCACAGCAAAATCATGTCCCAAGATGTCACTAGGTCACACAGAAGAGTTAATTCTCTTTCCCCTAAGGCTCACACAGGAAACAGGAGGACAATCAGGTAAGGGATGAGCACATGAAGTGTGCCTATTAAATACAGTACATAATAACTGACCATGGCTTAAGAATGGATGATTTAATAATCATAGCAATAAACAGCTTAATCCAAATGTAAGTGCATCCTAGTCAAAATGCATGTGACATTATTCAAATCCCTCTGGGGACAATTCCATTTGGAGGCAGAGAGTGGCTGGCCAGGGCTCACACAGATGAATACCAGCTATGCAGGTAAAAGGCAGTGACTTCAACCCCAGGAGGGTTGGCTGAGATTCACCTACGCAGACAGAGAATACACAAGTCCTCCTCACAAACAGTAAAAAGTTTTCTTCTACCAGCCTTACTGATCAAAAAGCAGTGACCTGCCAAAGGAGATATTTAGCAAAGAACCACTCTTTAAAGACCAAGTTCAAAAGATTATTCTCTCATAAATCTTGATTATTATTGTGAGGCACAGAAAATGTATTTGCAGAAGGAAATACTGTCAGAACTGAAGCAGGAGGAAAATGTATGCTCTTACCAGTGAGTAGTATATGACACAAAAAGCAAATACAAGCTAAGCCTCTGTGGCCCAAGGGCAAACAAGGACAGCAGGAAAACCAGTCAAAAGAACTTCTGTCACTGATCATACAACTTGGGCTTCCCACCAAACACCGCAGCTTGCAGAGCTGTCCATGATTCTGAAAGCATCTAAATCATGCTGACTGAACAAGCAAAAAGTCTATAATGCTAGTGGTGACCTGAATGGAGTGGTGACAAATATCCTGCTTAAAGATAATCTTCCATAGTGCCTTTACCATTTTAGTGTATCTAAATGACAAAAACTCACAGGCAAATGTGTATTATTTTAAACTCAGTTCCTCCTGCTTAAAAATCAATGCTGACTGGGACTACTAGAGAAAAGTAGCACACCCAATAACTTTCTTCCAAAATCAGATGGTAAAAGGGCACAAAAGAGGTCAAGTGCTAGTCGCTAAGTCAACAGAAGTATGGAACAATGGAACTTGGCAAAAATCCCAGTTATTTTTCAATTAAAGAATGTGGTCCCAGTTCTGCACTTGTTCATGCTAGCAGAGAATTTTCCTAAACATAGAAGTCAACATCTGAGGAATTTAAAGCACTTTAGAATTAATTCGATCCCTTATTACTTTCCTTTCTAGTGGAAAACAAATTCTGCAAGTTTTATTTTGCCCAGGAAGAACAAAAAGCACAAAGATGAAGTGAATGACTTAAAGTAAAACACATCCCTTTACCTCATACCAGAAGCAAAACTGAAATATTCTTCCTGCATGAAGAGTCTTTATGAAAGATTTTAACAGAAAAGCCACATGTCTACAAGAGTGTCAGTCTCTTCAAAGATTACATTCTTATTACAAAAATGCCCTCCAATGCTCAAAACATTTTAGGAACAACTCTTTCAGGGTTGTCATCATGCATAAAACATTCTTTTAAAATTTTCAACTATAGCAGATCTGGTCCTTTGAAAGTAGAATTTGATATATGTTGGTTGAAAGCACTTTTAGGAAATAAAGAAAATCCTCAAAAGCTGAATATTATTTTTAATCAAAAGGATATGTGCTTTTCTTAAGTGGCTTGTAAATCATATCTGCAGGTTACAAATCAGATCAAAAATATTCAAAACAATCCTGAACAGGTACATATTTTTTCTGTGTATATCATTATTCCCTGAGTAACACAGTTACTATTTACAAAGTGCTTATGCTGTATTAGGTATTATATGTAATCTAGAAATGATTTAACATATACAGGAGGATGTGCATAGGTTATATGGAAATATACCATTTTATGCAACAGACTTGAATATCTGCAAATGTCATTATCCTTGAAGAGTCCTGGAACCTGTCACCTGCAGATACAGAGGGATGATTGTGTTTCTACAGAGAATTCTCCAGAATTATTCTAAAACTCCTTTGCAACAAAAGCAGCTATGGAATGACAAGGCAATATCCTAGATGATTTCTTTGAAGGCCCATTTCATTTTTTTTAAGTATCTTTGACATTAGTGTTGTGTATGCACTCAATTAACTGGCTAACAGCCATATCTGATTCATCCTTTGATGTTATTCATTCATTCAACAAATACTTATGGTTACCTAATGTGTGCTAGTGTTGGAAATATAATGATGATCAAAAACAGGTCCACTATCTCCCCTCATGATGTATATAGTCAAGTATGAAAATAATTAACAAAAGCATATAAATTACAACCAATAAATCCAATTAGAAAAAGATCCATGATGATGTAAAGCCTATCACAATAAGACCTGACTGCATAGAGACTTCCCAAGAAATTAAAGTTGAGCTGAAGCTAAACAGAAGTTGAGGCAAATGAGACTGAGGCAGAGCTATGAACAGATGGTGAGGAGGGGAAGAGAGGTGTTCCAAGAAGAAAGAACAGCATGTGCAAAGGCCTGGTGGTCTTTTAAAAGAGTATGACATGTTAAAAGGTCTGAAAGAAAGACAACGGTCCTTAAGTGTTCAGTTAGTGAGAGAGTGGTATGAGATGGTTCTAGAAAGGCCACTAGAGAGCCTTGGATCTTTATTTACCCTAAGAGTGAAGAGAAGCTCCAAACATTTCCAATGGGAAGAGGACAGAAGAAGAAGAAGGACATGGTGGAATCTATGTTGCACTCCACAGTGATTGCCTGGTTCTTTCACTCAAGGCAGCCTGAAGAACCACTGGGGAGTGGCCAAGGTAGAAGCAGAAAGGCCAGTGAAGAGGTTACTATAACACAGATAAATGGATGATCAGAAAGGTGCAAAGGATGTGAAATCAGAAAAAACTAGGAACTCTGGATTCATTACTTGCTGGAAGATAGGCTTTGGTTCTGTCAAAGATTTTCTTAACCATTGGCAAGCTGGAAAACATCACATGAATGTTAGGGTTCTTTTCAGAACAGCTTTCTATATCATGTTGATGGCATTTCAGAAGCATATTTAAGATAATGAGGAAAAAGCAGCAAAGAGAAAAACAAAACTCTAGAAGTATCTCATGTTACATAAAAATGTATATTCCTGACAAACTATGTACACTTGAGTAACAAAACAATGAATACCTTAAAAAATATTACTGAGCAAATATTTCTTCCTTATACGAAAGCACAGCCTATAAAATGCAGACCAGATTATCACGATAATATATATCAAGTGAAATGTAAATCACTATCTTGATTATTTCCATATATCATTTCTCCCTTTATTCCAGAGAACATAATTGTGTAATTTTACAACTCTGAAAGGATGGGATAGTTGAGAAATTTAATAATTACCATGAAGCTTCATAATAAACCATTTAGTAAGCAACTAGAATGTCTAAGAAGCTTGCAAAGATTTAGCTCTTTTCCTTCAATGATGTCTTTCCTTGTAGGGAAAAGTCATTTTTATATCTATATTACTACAATATGTCATCTGCAGTTCACACCCTCCAGAAAATAAAGCTTTCCCATAAATCTGGTTACAATATAAGTCTGGGTTACAATGTCATAGCAATTATTAAACAAAAATTATGGAAAGTCATTGCTTTGGACTAAGTTCCTGAACAGAAGACTAAACTAAAAGACAAAATGGAGTCACTCACACTAGAGTACCCCACCACCAAGGCCAGACCAAGCTGTTTATCTGATCTTCCAAGAAAACAGGCTTAGAGATTAACAGCCAAATTTCCCAAACAAGCCAGTTTCTATTATGATA